ATTTGTCTATATCATCTTGTTGCCCCAGAGACTGGCTTATAGTAACAGTGCAACAAATTAAGTTAGTTATTTCAAGCAAATATTAAATAATCATCATCTGTTTCATAAGAATTTTAAAGGCAAGCTCTATTAATTATTCATTTTCTAATTAAAGGGGGTGGGGGTTACAAAAGGGTAAATTCATTTGCTGAAGGTTCCAAAACTGATTAAGTGGCAACAGAAAACCGAAGCTGTGACTCTGCAATTAGAACTATCTATACTGTACTAACGTCGTCCCCATGTAAATTATGGGTTCTGTTTGATACAAACTACAACGTTCAGAGTAAGAAATTTCTAGAAAGCGAATCTTGATTTGTTCACTCTCTCCACAATCTGTAAGCAAACCAGTTCCCGAGACAATCTTTTTTTTCCCTTTTTTCTTTATTAAGAAATGTTCTACTCACTCTACATACCACCCACAGATCCCCCCTCGTCCCTCCTCCCACCCTTCAGCCCTTCCTCCCTAGCCATTCCACATCCCCACATCCCCCAAATTAAGCTCTCCCATGGGGAGTCAGCAGAGCCACCCGAGACAATCTTACAGGTCTAATTATTACGATGTTGCCAGTTTCCTAGAAAAGTGCGTGTGGTCTGACATACTGATGTAGGGGTTAAACTGAAAAAGTGGAGGCTAAAATTCAAACACGAAAGTCCATCGGCAGCCCCTTTTATCATATTTCTTATCAACTTCTTAGTCCTCTTGGCTTTCCGGTTCGCCCTACCGGGTCGTACCACAGAGTTGCTTCCCGCCTCGTCCCTGGAACCCATCTTACTGTATGATCTCCTCGCTGACATCCAGGGCGAAAGTTTTCCGCAACTGCTGTGTGCACCAGTGTACCAGCGGCTCCCGGGACGCCGCCCCAGCCACCGCCATCTTCTCCAACCGGAACCAGCTGGGCTGCAAAAGCTTCTCGTCCTGCGCCGGACTAGTTCCCTTCACAACGGCGACCTCGCCGCCTAGGGTTCCGCAAGCTTGCACCGCCCTGCTCGGTCGCACCGCCTTTGAGGCTGATCCCGCCCACTTGGGCCGCCTCCGGCTTCTATCAGCTTCCGGGTCTGTTTACACGTGTGGGGTTGCTCTGCGCTTGAGTGATTTTTCGACATACAGGTGTAACTCCAGAAAGTACATTGGCAATTGTGCCAAGACAATATATACACCTATAGAAGAGCTGTAGTAGGAATAAAAGAAAGTAGGACCCCGAAGGATGGGTACAGCTTTCGAATTTAGTCGGGTTCCAATTATAGAACATTTACAACAGCTCTAGTCAGGAAGATAACAAATCCAAAGCCTGTTTGTGGTACGAAGTGAACTCAAAGCCAGTCTTTGTAACTTAGCGAGGCCTTGTCTCAAAACAAAAAGGAGGTAGGGTGGAGGGAGACAGGGCATAAAGCTCAGTGGTATCCTGCCTGCTGAGCATGTAAAAATCTCAGTCAGACAAAGCAAAACAAAAACTCCAGTCCTTGCAGGCTGTTTGTAAGTACTGTAGTAGTTTTTGTTCTGATGATGGTGGTGCTTATTTTTAGTGCCATCTGTAATTGAGACTAGAATCACACATGAAGACTAACAACCATCTGGAAGTCCAATTCCAGGGACTCCTACACCCTTTTTCTCTGGCCTCCACAGCCACCAGGCATGCATGTGGTGGTGCACTTACATACATGCAGGCACTTACACATACGGGGGGGGGGGGGGGACTTACAAAAATAAATTACATTAACTGGGCATGGTGGCACATGCTTTTAACCCCAGAACTCAAGGAGGCAAAGGCAAGTGGACCTTTGTGAGTTCAAGGCCAGCCTGGTCTATGTAGTAAGTTCCAGGCAGCCAGGGTTACTAGTGAGACCCTGTCTTAAAAAGTTATCATATTGGGGCTGGAGAGATGGCTCTGCGGTTAAGCAGTTAAGTGGTTAAGAGCACTGACTGTTCTTCCAGAAGTCCTGAGTTCAATTCCCAGAACCCATATGGCGGCTCACAACCTTCTATGCCACAGAATCTATGGGATCTGATGCCCTCTTCTGGTCTGCAGATGTACATGCAAACAAAACATCAATTTACCTAAAATAAAGAAATCATTAAAAAATTATATCTATTTGTGTGTTTGTCCATGTGTGTATATGTCTGTGGGCTACCACAAACGCACAATGCACATGTGACAGAGGACAGCTTGTGGGAGTGAGCTCTTCCCTTTTACTGTATGTATGGGTCCTGAGAATTAAACTCAGGTGGTCAGGCTTGGCAGCAAGAGCTTTTACCTTCTAAACCATTTTGCTGGCCCACCAGCTTTTCTAAAAAAGCAAAATACAGTCAATGTTCATTAATGGTGAGAATAAATTTTATCCTCTCATAAAAATCTGATGCATTCATTTTTAATTCTAGTTTATTCAAATCATCTACTCTTTTCTATATTTTTTCATTCCCATAGTTTAGCTCAGTGGTAAAGACTGTACTTAACATTTGCAAGACCTTGGGTCACATCTCCCGTAGCAAGGTATAAATTTAAACAGAAATTCCATTAATACATAATACACAACAACTTTTCCGTTCCCTTTTTCTTTAAAATGTTTGTAACTTTTTCTTTAAGACATTTATTTTGTACATGAGTGGGTGGGTTTCAGTGCTGTGGCACTCATGTAGAGGTCAGAGGACAACTTGCAGGAGTCAGTTCTTTCCTTCTACCTGTGGATCCTGGGAATGGAACTCAAGTCATCCAGTTTGATGGCAAGAGTGCTTACCTGCTGAGCCATCTTGCCGGCTCTGCTACAACTTTTCTTAATGTGTTAGGTTTTCAAGATGTTCATATTTAAGTCACACAATTCTGTTTTACTTAATTTTAAAGAAGGACTTTTCCAAAGCAATCTTTTTGTTTTGTTTTGTTTGAGACAGGGTCTCTCTATGTAGCCTTGGTTGTTCTGGAACTCCTTATGTAGACAAGGCTGGCCTCAACTCACAGACACCCTCCTGCTTCTGCCTCGGCCCCAATCATCATCATCCTCCCCTCCTTCTAGACAGGGTTCATGCATCCCAGGCTGGCCTCAAACTCAGAGATCCACCTGCCTCTGCTTCCCAAATGCTAGGATTACACTCATGCTCCATCGTGCCTATCTTTATGTGGTGCTGGAGAGCAAATTGTATATTAGGTGAGTGTTGTACCTACCAATTAAGTCACATTCCCAGCCCCCAAAGTAGCCTTTTTAATTAAAAACATTTGGTAAGTATCATCCTTTTTTGTGTGTGTTTTTCTCTAATGTGCATCCCTCATCAACATCATTGGTGTTAAAAGACAAAAAACAATCACAACTACAATAATATGTAGATTGTCCATGTATGAAGAGGTATATTTGACATTCTTTCTAGCCATTTGGTAGAAATGCAAGAGAAAAGACACATTCCTTTTTCTCTGCAGGACTCTGGAATGTGAGTTTAACTAAGCAATTCAGACCCGAGTAGAAGGTCTTTAACTGAAAAGGAAACAATGCCACTTAAGAGCCAGTGTGCATTTTCATGAGACTAAATGACAATAAAGGAATGCTTGTTGATTTTTCTGGTGGGAATTTGGTTGTAATCTAACACTCCAGGGTTTAAGATAAACTACTATTGCTAATATTATGATGTTAATTCAATGACTGCCTAAACCCTTTCATTATTTTCCTTTCTTTAATGATTTATTTATTTTTATGTGCATTAGCATTTTGCCTGTATGTATGTCTGTGTGAGGGTGTCAGATCCTCTAGAACTGCAGTTACAGACAGCTGTGAGCGGCCATGTGGGTGCTGGGAATTGAACCTGTGAACCTGGGGCCTCTGGAAGAGAGCAACCTCTGAACTGCTGAGCCATCTCTCCTCTATTTTTTTTTTTTTTTTGCAAGGGGGGTGGTGTCTTTCTTTTCTTTGTTTCTGTTCTTTTTCTCCTTTCTCCTTTCCTCTCTCCTTCCCTTCCCTTTCCTTCTCTTCTCTTCCCTCCCCTACCGCCTCCCCTACCCCCTTCCCCTTTCCTCCTCCCCTGCCCTCCCTTTTCTCCCCTCCAGTCAGTCCCTTTCCTTTCCTTGTGGTGTAGCCCAGACTGGCAAGGAACTCACTGCCTCCTCAGGGCTGAGATTACAAGGTTCACTAGGCCTGGCTTTGAAATCTGTAGGTTGTATAACACCATGAATTGCTGGTTTGGTTAAGGTCCGGAGCAGATTTTGTTGCTGTTTGAGCCTAATTCACTGGAAAGAAGTACTTAGGCTTTGAAGGTGGCCGTTCAAACAAGCGTTAGCAGGAAGTATCCTGCAGCAAGCACAAATGCTCTCACTCCATGCATGACATTCAGAACAAAGACACATTCTTAGGAATACTGTGATTTTTGAAGCATAGGGTCAGAAAATATTTATGATTTCTTTATTATAACATTATTCTCATGTGGGTTGGAACTGTAGCCTTTTTACACAGATTTTTTTTAGCAGATTTTTAGCTATGTGGCCATGTTTATTTTTATGTGTGTATGGACAATTTGTCCAATTTTTTAGTCTTACGTGATCTGAAAACGTTTTTTAAAAGCACTGTAAAAAACTAAATTGCGTTTTCCTTTCTCCCACCTCAGAAAGTTAATTTAAAACACTGCAGATATTAAGGATATTAAACTTCAGCTTTGATTTGCAACAAAAAATCCACTTAATTTTTATTTTCACTTTCAGGGTTTAATCACCATGGATTTAACTCTGTGGTAACTTTTGAAGAAATATTGCAATTCCTATCTTTACTATGTTTTATTTTATAAGCCGACCCACTTGGCTAGTTCACAACCTACCTCGGTGCCCACACTTGGTGCACCCCTGGAGTCCTGGTACCGCCCACCAGGAGTGGGTACGAATCACGACCCCTGGGGCTGATGGACTGGCCAGCAAAGCCTGGTCTCGAGGCTGTCACCCGCTGGACGCTGCCAATTGGTTCAGGGTGAAGGCGCGGAACCAATAAGAGCCACGGTGCTCAAGAGCTTGGAGCGCGCGGGAAAGAGAACCATTTAAACTGTGGCGGGAACGTCATTTTCGGGTTCTTGTCCAGTTAAGACATCCGCAGCTGGGGCGTCGGTGCGAGTTGTCTCTTGCTGTGGGAACATGGTGCGGACCAAAGCAAACTACGTCCCAGGAGCCTACAGAAAAGGTGAAGGGATACAGCGCGGGGCTGGGGGCTCCCCAGGCAGCCTGTCCCCAGGATGGAGAAGCCCGTGGCTGCTCCCCAGCCCCCATGGAGCCCAGCTAGGGGGGCAGGCTCCAGGCCCTCACCTTGAGGGAGCTGTGGAGGACCAGGCGAGGTCGTTCTGGGGCTAGGCATCACCCCACTCTCTGCTAGGCTGGGCCTGGTAGAACAAAGCTCCGGGGTCCGAGCTCTCCAGCCTCTTCTGAACGCCCCCCCTTTACCTCTCTTTGCAGTGGTGGCTTCTCGAGCCCCTAGGAAGGTGCTTGGCTCCTCCACCTTTGTCACCAATTCTGCATCGTGTTCATCGAGAAAAGGTAGGACGGGTCCGGAAAGCTTAGGAGGTAAAAGAACACCCCTGAAAGGAGGTCAGACCTGGCACAGTCGTCCTGAACTGTGAGGCCCTGACCCACGGTGGACTTATTTATTTTATTTTTTTTATTTAGTTTCCTTCCTCTGGAATTTGTTTCCTTTGACATTCTCACTCCTAAATTTCTTCCTTGCCCTCTAAGGGGGCCTTGCTCTTTGAGCAGGCTTGGTTAGGGCCTCTCAAGTCTTAGCGGTGAGGTACAGTTTATTTTTAAACCTAATTTTTTGTTGTTGCTGAACAGTGTTTTTTAGTTTTTCTTAATAGTAACAGTTACTATTTTCTTGGAGGCTACTTGAGTGCCTCATTAGATTTAGAGTGATGGCTGACAGTACTACCACATTTTGTGTGTGTGTGTGTGTGTGTGTGTGTGTGTGTGTGTGTGTGTGTGTGTGTGTGCTTGTCTGCCTATCTGTCTATCCAACCGTGCAGGAAATCTCTGGGAACTGAACCCTAGGCCTTGCAGGCAAGTACTCTACCACTGAGCTACATCTCCGCCCACACTGTCCCAGTACAAGTGTCTTTGCTTTTGTCTGCCCTCCCTCCTCCTCTGCTCCCTGTTCCTTCCCGCCCTCCCTCTCTTCCGCCCTCTTCCCTTTCCTTCTCCCTCTTTCCCTCTCTCTTCCTTCTTCCAAGGTCTCATGCAGCCCAGGCTGGCCTCAAAATTTCTACATACAGAGAATAACCTTGAACTCCAGATCCTTTAGCCCTCTTTCTGATCCTCTACATCCCCAGTGCTGGGATTACATGTATGTGCCATGGATGCCAGGTTTATTTTGTGCTGGAGATCTAACCCAGGGCTTTGTGCATGCTCGGCACACTACTGAGCCACATCCACACATCCTCCCTCTTCTTCCCCTCTCTCTCTCTCTCTCGATTGCTGGGATTACAAGTATGTACCACCAACACCCTGCTTTATTTTTTTGAGATGGGATCCTTGGTATGTTACCCAGCTGCTGTTAAAACCCTCCTGCTTTTAGCCTTCTGAGTAGGTAGGATCACAGGAGTCAGCCATCATGCCCGATAATTCATGGTTTTTATGCTAACCCAACCCCACCACCACCATACACCATTATTTATTTGAGATAGGATCTTTATGTGCATTTAGCCAGATTGGCTTTGATTCTCTGCTGTTTCAGCCTCTGGAGTGCTAGGATTACAGGCATGTACTACACCGTACACAGCCCTCAATTTTCACCAAATCTAAAAATTTCATTAGAAAATATTTACTATTTCCACCTCTTAAGATAAGGCAGTAGTAGACAAAATTTTTGAAAGTAGATAAATGTATTCAGAATGTCTTATATTTTGTACAACTGGAGTTAATTCTATCAAGGCCACCTCCCATTGTCTGGCCTACTGCTAAATCACTAGATCTAATTGAATAGGTCCTTAATATGTGTTAAGCAGCCAGGCAAAAAGTGCATTAATCCTAAGTACTCTGGAGGCTGAGGCAGGAGGACAACTATATATTCAAAGCCAGCCTGAGCTACGAAGTGAGCACCAGGTGTACTGGGGGCCCTAGCAATATGCTGTCTCACAAGAATAATCAAGAAAACAAGAAGTGGCTTAGTGTAGTGGCACGTGCTTGCAGCCCCGGCATCTGAGAAGTAGAGGCAGGAGGATCAGGAATTCAAGGCTAGCATCAGCTAAAAAGTGACTGTGAAGCCAGACTGGGGTATATAAAATACTGACTCATCCCCGACTCTGCCAATAAAAAAAAATGGTCATAGATTTGTGTTTTTAAGGCCAAAAAATAGTATTCTCATTCCAAATGATTCTTATTACATATATTTATTGTCTGTGTGTTTGTGTATGTGTGTGTGTTCAGATGTGCATGGATTTGTACACTATTACACACATAGGGAACTCAGAGGACAATTTGTGGAAATCAGTTCTTTCCAGCCCAAACTCAGTATTCTGAAAGAAACAAGTGTTCTTTACCACTGAGCACCACACCAGTCTGATTTTTCTAATTTAAGATGTTTGTTGTATTACTTAATACCTCTTGGAGTCTGATATTAAAGAAAGGCAATTATATGTTTTTATTTAGTTCTGTTTCTATTTTATAGCTGAAAATAAGTATGCAGGAGGGAACCCAGTTTGTGTGCGCCCAACTCCGAAGTGGCAAAAAGGCATCGGAGAGTTCTTCAGGCTGTCCCCCAAAGATTCAGAAAAAGAGAACCAGCTTCCTCCTGAAGAAGCGGGGTGCAGTGGCTTAGGAACAGCAAAGAGAAAGTAAGTGTTTATGTTCTGGAAGACAAAGAAAATGTCCCCTTAAAAATAAAAGACAAATGGGATAGTGAGTAATTTTAAAGTTTCTCTTCAAGCTAGTAAGAAAAGAAAAACTATGCTTTAACTTTCTTATGTCATTCTAAAATTTCAAATATCTTTCAAAAATTAATTTTTACTTACTCTAAAGAGGCTTGATTCCTATTCACTTATTATTCCTCTAATTTTTACAGTTTTGTTTTTGTTTTTACTTTTTGTTTATTTTGTTTGTTTGTTTGCTTGGTTTTTGAGTCAGGGTTTCTCTGTTTAACAGCCCTACCTGTCCTGGAACTCTGTAGACCAGGCTGGCCTCAAACTCACAGAGATCCACCTGCTTCTGCCTCTCGAGTGCTGGAATTAAGGCCGTGCACCATTACCCGGCTTGTTTTGTTTTTTTTTTTGAGACAGTCTCTGTATGTAGTCCAGGACAGACTTGAACTTCTTGTAATTCTTCTGCCTCAGCCTGCTAAGTGCTGGGAAGAGAGGCATGAGCTACCACACTTTATAGTCTGCCTACCTTCCTCCTTCCCTCTCTTCCCTCCTTTTGCTCCTTTTTTTCTGACTTTTTTTTTTTTCAAAAAGAAATTTCTATGGCAGTTCATTTAGTTTGAATTCCATTGAGCTACTTATACCCCACAAAATTACTAGTTAAGTGTAGCTCAGTTTAGTGTGCATGCAGTCTGTTTAGTCTCCAGTACCAAAACAAGTAATAATACTATGTGTTGAACTTTCACGAGAAATATATAATTAATATATATAATATATAAACAGAAATTACTCTATAGAAACAACCAATAGAATTCTGTAATTTTTTTTTTTTTGGTACCTTCTCTGTAAATCCTAAAGAATTCTTCAAACTGGGGCTGAGCTTTTTAAATTATTTTTTTGAGACAGGGCCTCTGTTCTGTAGCTCTGGCCGTCCTGACATTCACTACGTAGGCTAGGCTGGCCTTGAACACAAAGAGATTCATCTGCCTCTGAATGCTGGGAGTAGAGGCACCACCATGCCAGCTTGTTTTTAAGATTAATGAAATGAGAATGCTAGTGATAAATATTGAGCTAAAATTCTGGATATAAAAGTATAATATTTGGGGCTATAGAGATGGCTTGGTGTTTAAGAGCATGTACAGAGGATTCAGGTTTGGTTTCCAGCACCTACATGGCAGCTCACAACTGTATGTAACTCCAGTACCAAGGGGACTAATACCTCTTCTGACCTACTTGGGTTCCTGTAGCATGTGATATACATGCATACAGTTGGGTACAAACATACATGTACCCATAAAATAAATGTATATAAAAATAAAATTTTTTTTTCAAAGTACAATCTGCTTTTCAAGACACATACACTATAGGAAAATATAACAAGTATCAATAATTATTTATCTGGGTAAAAAATCTTGTCTCATGCTACATACCATAAATTTCTAACAATCAACATCTATCACTTTAGTAAGAATCACAAAAAAAGCCAGGCATGGTGGCCCATACTTTGAATGCCAGCACTAAGGAGGCAGAGGCAGGTGGGTCTCTTTGAGTTCCAAGCCAGTCTACTCTATACTGTTCCAGGACAGCCAGGGCTACACAGAGAAATCCTCCCAGTCTTGAAAAAAAAAAAAAAAAAAAAAAAAGACAAAAAAAGGGCTGGGGATGTAGCTCAGTGGAGAAAACTTAGCGTGTTTGAGGCATTAGCTTCATTACTCTGCACCTAAAAAAAATCAGGAAGAAAAGTATTTGAATTCTTGGAGGTCTGTATAAGTATTGAAACCAAGGCATACACCATGGAGGCTGTATGAAAGTCGGAGGACACCTTTAAGGAGTCAGTTCTCTTTCCACTTCTATATGGGTTTCAGGAGTTGAACTCAGGGGTCCAGATTCAAATGACAAGCAAGCACTGACCAGCTGAGCCATTTCACTGCCCCCACGTTTTCATTTTCTTTTTTGAGACAGGATCTCACTCTGTAGCCTTGACTGGCCAGGAACTTACTATGTAGCCCAGGCTGGCCCGGAACTCAGAGACTCACTTGCCTCTGCCTCCTGAGTGCTGGATTAGAGGTGTGCACCAACATGTCTTGCCCACTATTTCCTTTTCAAAAATCTTTTAATTCTAAAGGAAAGACTTGTGAGATTGAGGGGCTAGCCTGAACTACCTGAGATCCTGCTTCAAAAAACAAAACCAAAAGAGGACTTGGGTGTAGAAAGAGGGTGTGGCACCATGACACTGTCATTGTGATGTCTCCATGAAAGTAAGACCTAGTTTGTAATCTTCACACCAGCCAAAAGCCTAGAAAACTTCCAGCTCAACAAGCAGCAAGCTGGACACTCAGCACCCTGACCCCCAGGGGCGAGAGGATGGCGGTCAGACTCTGTTTGGGGCTGTTGCTCCTTGTGGTCCTTCCGATGCAGGTTGAGTCATTTGTCCCTTTAACCAGCACAGCGGGCCCTACCTACTATGAAACTGATGCCCCTGAAGCCACCACCGTGGTATCCTCCAGCAGCTCCCTAAAAGCTATAGCCAGTATCCTTGGGGTCTTGCTTACCTTTCTGTGTCTTATCCGTTAAGAGCCTCAAACCAGATCACATTCTAATATTGGACCAAGTGGCATCTGCAAATCCAGTGTTACAAGGAAAACAACCAGGTCTTCACAGCTACTCATCCCACTGGGTTAGTAACACAGAAAATGCTGAGAAGCTCAAACTGGACTGCCTTGAAGATCATCTCAAGGGTTAATTAGATGGTGGACACCAATCGTAAATCTCCTGGAGTTTCACATATAAAAATAAAGAAAAAAAAGACAATGCTGAACATTGGTTAATGATTTCATTAAATGTGGTTTATGAAATATGGATCATTAAAAGTCCACCTTGAAAATAATTTCACTTTGATCTAGAGAGTAAGTGTGAAGTGTGGAATGGAGATTCAATGTTCTGTATGGTGCACTAAAACAAAAGGCCTATAAAGTAGTTAGAAAATGAGAAAATATTTCAGACTTTACATGTACTTTGGAAGGAAGTACAAGATACTACTGTAAATTCTCTTCTCTGCCATTCTTTCTGTGCTACAAATTGAACTCTGGGACTTGTAAGCATTAGACAAGCTCTACCACTGTGCTAAAGTCATTTAACTCTGTTTTCCTCTCTCTCTCTCTCTCTCTCTCTCTCTCTCTCTCTCTCTCTCTCTCTCTCTCTCTCTCTCTTTCTTTCTTTCTAGATGTCTCACTCTGCAGCCCAGGCTGACCTTGAACAAGTGGCAACCCTCCTACCTTAACCTCTCTGCCTCTCTGGTTTTGGGATTAGAAGTGTGAGCCACCATACTTGGCTGCATTTAGCTTTTTGTACAGTAACTGACATTGGGGCAATGATGGGTTTGAATCTGCTTCCTGAGTATTAATCCTCTACCTGGTAATCCAGATTTGCATTGAAATCATTCTGGAACTAGAGCCTTGTACTCTCTTCTGCTTTGGCTGCCATAATGATGAGACTGGGCTTGGAGATGTGCCTCAGTCAATGACAGAGACTTGTCAGTGCAAGGCCCTGGGTTCAACATCTTAACACTGCAAAAAAAAAGATAATGCATTTGATAGGCATTTTACATCATGCTCAATTAGTGATTTTTTTTTTGGGGGGGGGGTTTCGAGACAGGGTTTCTCTGTAGCTTTGGAGTCTGTCCTGGACTAGCTCTGTAGACCAGGCTGGCCTCGAACTCACAAAGATCCACCTGCCTCTGCCTCCCAAGTGCTGGGATTAAAGGCGTGTGCCACCACCGCCCGGCTTCAATTAGTACTTTTAAAAAGATTTATTTTTATCTATGCATATATGTATGTGTCTGCATGAGTTTATGTATACCACATATGTGCAGGTACTACTTACAGAGGCCAGAGGGCATGGATTCCCTGGAACTGGAGCTACAGGTGGCTGTGAGCCACCTGGTGTAGGTGCTCAACTGTGTCCTCTGTAAGTGCTCTTGGTTCCTAAGCCATCTCTCCAGCCCACAACTCATCTTTCTTACATATATACTTAAAAGCTACACAGGTCAGTCTGGGTTACCTGAGACCCTGTCACTAAACAAACAAATAGAAGACAAAAATGACTTTCTATCACATGGAGAGAAATTATATAGTCTCATAAACAAGTTTAATCTATAATATAAATCAGCAATAGCCAGACATGGTGACACATGGCTTAATTACAGAGGTTGAGACAGATCATGACTTCAAAGTCATCCTACAGTACATAGTGAGACTGTCTCAAAAAAACAAAGCCAGTGAGAGGGATATAGTTCCATGGTGGAGTACTTATGTAGCATATGTGAGGGCTGGATATGAACTCCTGTCTTCTACAAGAGCAGTAAGCACTCTTAACCACAAAGCCATCTCTCTGGCCTCCAAATGTCATTTCATTCTTCTTTGTAGCGAAATTAAATTTCATTGTGTATATGTGTCACAATTTCTTTATTCATTCATCTATTGACACAGCTGTAGGCTAGTTCATATCTTGGCTGTTGTGATCAGTACAGCAAGCATCTGCTTAAATTTTGTTTGTCTGTGTGTCTGTGTCTGGACGTGCATAGATATGCATATACATTTGTACATGTGGAAGCCATAGGTTAACATGGAGTGTCTTCCTTTTCTATTTTATTTTTCCTGAGACAGGGTTTCTCTGTGTAGTCCTGGCTGTCCTGGAACTCACTCTGTAGACCAAGCTGGCCTTGAACTCAAGAGATCCACCTGCCTCTGTCTCCCAACTACTGGAATTAAAGGTGTGCGCCACCATTCAAGCCTGGCTTCGAATGTCTTTCTCAATCACTTTGTGCCTTATTTTTCTGAGACAGGATCTCTCATTTTACCTGGAGCATGCTGATTTGACTAGACTGGCTGGCCAGTGAGCCTCAAATCCTCCTGTCTCTGCCTCCCCAGCACTGGGATTCCAGGCATATGTCATTGTGCCAGCGTTTTAATGTAGATTCTGAGGGGATGGAATTCAGCTCTTCATGTTTGCATTGCAAGCATTTTACCTATCAAGAAGTCTCTTCAGCTCCATTTACATAAATCTTGAACATAACTATTATGCCTAAAGAAAATCAGGCCTTGCAAAAAGGAAGTTTGGGTCATGATGTGTTTGTCTTAATTTCCAGGAAAACACAATGAAGACCTTTCCATAATCTATTAGTACACGAAGCAATGGTAATCTCATACCAAGGCTGAATACTTTGTTATAGCTTCCTTCTTTTAGTATCTGGTCTATGACCATTGAGGCTCACTGGATCTCATTATCTCACTTGGAAACTAAGGATTTTAGAGTAAATATCACTAAGCTTTGTTAACTCTAAAATAAAATTGTGATTTATGAGAAAGTTTTTAATTGATTTACTATAAAAAGGATGGTAAGTACAGAATGGTTTTGGATTAATATTAATGTACACTTATTCAAATGTTATGATTATCATAGCCTACCAAATGATTTAGAGTTTTTTTTTTTTTTGTTTTTTTGTTTTTTTTTTTTTTTTTTTTGGTTTTTCGAGACAGGGTTTCTGTGTGTAGCTTTGCGCCTTTTCCTGGAACTCACTTGGTAGCCCAGGCTGGCCTCGAACTCACAGAGATCCGCCTGGCTCTGCCTCCCGAGTGCTGGGATTAAAGGCGTGAGCCACCACCGCCCGGCAAGGTTATTTTTTTAAAGAATACATCCATGTAGTCCAAAGAATATGGCAATTTGTTTGCTATATTTTTTTCTCTATTCAAATGAATTTTTTTACTTTGTATACCATAAAATTTTTAGTAACAGGTTATATTCTATTTATCAGTCCACTTAACATTAAAACCAATGTTGTGGGAATGAGATATTTTTAATAGTTTTTAACAGTTTTATACATATATTTGATATTTCTTTTTTAAGATTTATTTTTATGTGTATTGATGTTTTGTCTGCATGTGTGTCTATGTGAGGGTGTCAGATTGGAATTATAGACAGCTATGAGCTGCCATGTGGGTGCTGGGAATTGAACCAAGAACCTCAGGAAGAGCAGCCATTGCTCTTCACTGCTGAGCCATCTCTCCAGCCCTTAATCATACTTCTATTTTAAAGATTTAAGTTATGTTTATAGGTATGTGCATGGTGAGTTTAGGTGCCTGGGGAGGCCGGAAGACAGCACTGGGTCCCTTGAGATTGAAGTTATGGCGATTGTGAGCTGTCCAACGGGTCCAGGGCACTGGACTTGGGTATTCTATAAGAGCAGCAAGTGCCCTTAACTTGTGAGCAGTCTCTCCAGCCGCCATTTATTTATTTGTAGACTCTATGTATCCCAAGCTGTCCCAGAACTCACTGTGCAATCCAAGTAGGACTTGGAATTCGCAGCAGTCTTCGTGCCTCAGCCTCCCAGTGCAGGAGTTACACATTAAGATTTGCATTTTTATTTTTTATTACTTTGTAATATTTATTTCATTTTTTGTGTCTGTGTGCGCATGCACACACGTGGGTACCTGTAAGGCCCAAGAAGGTATTGAATCCCCTGGAGCTGGAGTTACAGGGTATGTGCTGGGAACTAAACTGTTGTCCTATTCAAGAATGAATGAGCCATCTCTCCAGTTTGTTTCTTGTTTTGTTGAGACAGGGTCTTACCACATAGTTCTGGCTGATCTGCTACTTGGTATGCAGACCAGAGAGTAGCCTCAAACTTTTTTTTTTTTTTTTTTTTTTTTTTTTTGCAATCCTACTGCCTCATCTTCCCTAGGTGTTGGGAGTACAGGCATACACTGCTTACCTGGGTCCTTTGAAATAAAACTCACAACATAAACCGGGCGGTGGTGGCGCACGCCTTTAATCCCAGCACTCGGGAGGCAGAGCCAGGTGGATCTCTGTGAGTTCGAGGCCAGCCTGGTCTCCAAAGCGAGTTCCAGGAAAGGCGCAAAAGAAAAGCTACACAGAGAAACCCTGTCTCGAAACCCCCCCCCCAAAAAAAAAAACAAAAAAAACCTCACAACATGTCCTAAATGAAAAATGCTGCCAGGCGGTGGCACCTGGAAGGCAGAGGCAGGTAGATCTCTGTGAATTTGAGGCCAGCCTGGTCTACGGAGCAAGATCCAGGACAGGTTCCAAAAGAAAAAAGTAAAAGAAAAATGCTGATTCCATGAAATAACAGGGAACAGTGTTTAAAAAAAGTTTTGTTGCACTAGTTTTTGGAGTTTGTTTACACTTGCTAATTACTGGAGTTTAATTTTCTCTCATTTGTACTTACTTGAGCACACCTACTTCATTATTAATGTTCTGATTTCATAAACAGTTGATACTTGAGTGATTGAAGTTCTTTTCTTCACAGAGCACGTCCTTTGCAACCTGATCACACAGATGACGAAAATGAATAGAACTCATTCTCCTGAATAATGCCTTCAGTTTACTTAGGTATTCTGGGATGTAAATTTGGGTAGACGTGTTTGTTCAATTGGCTTGTTGAACAGGCATTCAGTTAAGGGGGGGGGGCGCTAAAATTTCACCATTCAAAAGCAACTGGCTATGAAAAGGGAGAATTTTTATAATTTGTAAATTATAATTGCATACTTGAATTTATAATGTCATATGTTGCTTCTTTTACCTATTAAGCTTCTTGCTAAAATAAACATTGCATGATGTTCTAATTACTAATCTAAGTCTTTGAGATTTGCTTAGATCTTTGTACTAATACCATTTTATGGGCTGTATTATTATGTGAAATAGTGCTGTATTATTATGGCTTGTTTGCTTTAAAAGTCGGCGTAGTTGTTTTCACATTAAAAAATTAGTATTAATTAAATTTAATCTCTTGTCATTTCTCAAAATGGGGGGGGGCAAAGATAAAATGTTGAAAAAGTTAGCTGTATGCTTTTTAAGAAATGTTAGCTGGGTGTGGTGGCACACACTTTTGATCCCAGGTTTCTGGAGGCCAAGGCAGACGGATCTCTGTGGTTGGAGGCCAGCCTCGTCTACAGATACAGCCAGTTGTACAGAAAAACCCTATCTCAATAAAAGAAAACAGAAGAAAATACTAATAGAATCAGGAACAAAGATTCCATAGATACATTAAAAGAAAAATTTTTCTTTTTCTTTTTTTTTTTTTTTTAAGAAAGTTGGGGAGGAAAGGGTTTATTTGGCTTACACTTCCATGTCACTGTTCTTCATTGGAGGAAGTCAGAGCAGGAACTCAAGCATGGCAGAAACTAGAGGCAGAAGCTGATACAGAGGCCATGAAGAGGTGCTGCTTACTGGCTTGCTCTTTTTTTTTTAATTTTTAATTATTTTATGTGCATTAGTGTTTTGCTTACATGTAGGTTTGTGTGAGGGTGCTAGATCTCCTGGAACCTGAATTGTAGACTGTTGTGAGCTGCCATGTGGGTGCTGGGAACTGAACCTGGGTCCTTTAGAAAGAGCAGTCAGGGTCTGGAGAGATGGCTCAGAGGTTAAGAGCACTGGCTACTCTTCCAGAAGTCCTGAGTTCAATTCCCAGCAACCACATGAAGACTCACAACCATCTATAATGGAATATGGTGCCCTCTTCTGGTGTGTGTATACATAATAAATAAAAATTTTTAAAAAAAAAAGCAGTCAGTGCTCTTAACCTCTGAGCCATCATTCCAACCCTAAAAGAATAATTTTTCTTGGATATATATTCAATTTAGTATAATAAAATATTACCTTTTGCATATATATATATATTTTCTTTTTTTCCCCTGAGACAGAATTTCTCTATGTAGTTCTGGCTGTCCTGGAACTTGTTCTGTAGACCAGGCTGTTCTCAAACTCAGAAATCCACTTGCCTCTGCCTCCTGAGTGCTAGGATTAAAGGCCTGTGCCACCACGCCCAGGTTTTGCCTCTATTTTTTAAGTTGAAAATAAAATATTTGAAAAAATCATTCTATAAATGAAGTTTTATGTCTCTAGTCAGAGTTTTCTCTTCGTTTCTCAAGACGACTTGAGGTTACTGAAGAGACAGGTATAGTAGTAATTGTTTTGAGGCAGGATCTCATGTAGCCTCTAAGTGCCCTGAACTCAGTATGTAGAGCAAGATGGCCTTGAACTCACAGGGATCTGTCTCTGTCTCCCAAGTGCTGGGATTAAAGGTATGTGCCACCATGTTAACTGATACACTTGACTTTCTCATTGTGTTTTGTTTACTGACAGGCTATCTGTTTTCAAAATTAACCATGTTTTTAGCAGCCATGTTTTTGTGAAACTTGTTTAAAATAAATGCTCAGTTTTACAATACAGTATCCATTTGTGTTTCCTATACTCTATACTATTTTATTTCCAAATACAAGTATTGGTGTCATTTTTTAAATCAATTTACATGTCCTGTGAGGCCAGGCCAGCTGATTATAGATTTTGTTTTTTTTTTAGTTTGTCTTTTACACTTAGACATTAAGCAGAACCTCTTTTAATCTCAAGTACTTTGAAAACTATGTTTCTTGTTTCTTTTTTTGCTTGTGGTTTTGGCTTTTTAAATAAAGATTTATTTTTATTTTGTTGTTTATGAGTGTTTTGCCTGCATGCATATATGTGGACCGTGTGTGTGTGTGTGTGTGTGTGTGTGTGTGTGTGTGTGTGTGTGTGTGTGTGTGTGTGTCAGAAGAGGGCCTCAGATCTTCTGGACCTGGAGTGAAGAGACAGTTTTTGTCAAGTGGGGGCTGGGAACTGAACCTGAGTCTTCTGCAAGAATAGCAAGTGCTCTTAACCACTGAGCCATTTCTCAAGACCTCCCCCCACCCCCGCCTTTTTTTTTTTTTTTAATCAAGACAGGGTTTCTCTGTGTAGCTTTGGAGCCTGTTCTGGAACCCACTCTGTAAAGGTACTGGAATTAAAGGCGTGCACTACTAGTCCCATGTTTTAGCTTTAGAAAGGGTCTCACCAAAGCTCAGGCTAAACTGAAATTCTCTATGTAGCCCAGGCTGGTCTTGACCTTGAGGCAGCTATCCTCCTCATCTTTCTAAGGGATGGGATTATAGTTGCCTACACAAAGGGGTAAGTGGTTTTTTGTTTTTTGGTTTTTTTTTTTGGTTTTTCGAGACAGGGTTTCTCGTTGTAGTTTTGGTGCCTGTCTTGGAGCTCTCTCTATAGCCCAGGCTGGCCTCAAACTCACTGAGAACCGTCTGGCTCTGCCTCCCGAGTGCTGGGGTTAAAGGTGTGTGACACTGCCCGACCAAAGGGGTAAGTTGGTTTTGGTTTTGGTTTTTTTTTGTTATTTGTTTTATTTTTATCTATCTGTCTATCTATCTATCTATCTATCTATCTATCTATCTATCTATCTATCTATCTATCTATCTATTTTGTTTTTCAAGACAGGGTTTCTCTCTGTAGCCCTGGCTGTCCTGGAACTCATTTTGTACATCAGGCTTGCCTCAAACTCAAGATTCACCTGCCTCTGCCAGGATTAAAGGCATGCACTACCATTGCCTGATTTAGGTTTGTTTTTAAGAAGTAGGTTAAACCAAGTATTTTTTTCTTTGAAGTTTATTTATTTATATTTTATGTATGAGTGCTCTGCATGTATACCTGCAGGCCAGAAGAGGGCTTCAGATCCTATTATAAATGGTTATAAGCCACCATGTGGTTGTTGGGAATTGAACTCATGACTTCGAGAAGAGCAACCAGTGCTCTTACCCGCTGAGGCATCTCTCCAGCCCCTAAACTAAGTCTTTTAAAGTCAGATTTTAGTAGCTCTGAAATTTGATTTGCTCTTTTTCACTAGTAGAGCTACTTATGCTGGTGAGCCTAATGAGGTCAAATTTTGATGTATATAATTACTTCCAAAATGTAATGTACTGGATTTATTTACAGTATATATGTGTGTGTGTGTGTGTGTGTGTGTGTGTGTGTGTGTGTATGTGTTTATATATATGGGTGTGGATGTGTTGACATGCATAAAGGTCAGAGGACAACTTGTAAGAGTTAACGGTTTCTACCATGATCAAAAATTCAGGTCCTCAGACTTGGCAGGGAGCACCTTTACTTACTGAGCCTTCTCTCCAGCCCCTTCCTGCCCCTCCCCCTCACCCCATTTTGAGATAGTCTCCCTATATACAGCTTATCAATTCTACTAAACTTAGAATCTTCCAGATTAACTCTTTTTTTTTTTTTTTTTAGAAAAACTGGAAGTTTAGGAGGATCTTATCCAACCAACATTATCATATATATATATATATATATATATATATATATATATATATATATTTATCTTCAAATCAGATTTGGAAGATTGTTAGAAGCCATCTTGTTCAACCTAAGCCAAACGGTAACTCTTTAATAAATGGACTGTCCTATCACTTAACAACTATAATTGTAAAAAATGTTGAGTTTGAGTCATTTTAACTTATCTATTTTTGGTCCATTCTTGAAAGAACATGCTATTTTACATGTCAACCTTCAGTTATTTAAAAATAAATGTTATATATTTAGCCTTCTCTTCCTCAGGTTTAATGTTTTATTGTTTGTCACATATCCTGAGTTTCTCTGAATCACTTGTGTATTTTTTCAATTGTTTATTGCTTAGGTACAGAAATAGTAAATTTGGCTAAATTTCTTCTTACTGGCCCTGAATATTCGTCATAAACTATTCATTTCTAGTTTGGTATTATTTTTAATGATTTATTTTATGTGCATTGGTCCTTTGCTGGCATGTGTGTCTGTGTGAGGCTGTCAGACCCCCTGGAACTGGAGTTACAGACAGTTGTGAGCTGCCATGTGGGTGCTGGGAACTGGATCCAGCTCCTCTGGAAGAGCAGCCAGTGCTCTTAAATGCTGAGCCATCTCTCCAGCCCCGAGTTTGGCATTTTTTTATGTTTAGAGAAACCAGACGAACTCTAGCAGTACCTATTTTGTTTTATTGTTTATAACTCAGATTGGTCTTGAACTTGATCTTTTGTCTTCTGAGTGCTGGTGATAATACATATGTATTCTACCGTATTTAGCACTCTAACAATGTTCAGCACTAATTAGAGTATTGAGTTTCCAAAAAAAAACCCACCAAATTTACTTTTTAAATTTTTTTAAAGATTTATTTATTTTACGTGTATGAGTATTTTGCCTGCATGCATATATATGTGCACCATATGCATACCTGGTGCCATGGATCCCTGGAACTGGAGTTAAACCCAGGTCCTTTAGAGGAGCAGCCAGTGCTCCTAACCACTGAGCCATCTCTCCAGCTCCTAAATTTGCTCTTTTTGTTGTTTAGTCCAAGTTGGGTTACAATTCATATCAATCCTCTGTACTCAGTTTCTGGTTGTTTTTGCTTATTTGTTTGTTTGGTTGGTTGGTTTTTCAAGACAGAGTTTCTCTGTGTAGCTTTGGAGCCTGTCCTGGAATTCACTCTGCAGCCCAGGCTGGCCTTGAACTCACAGAGATCCACCTGCCTCTGCCTCCTGAGTGCTGGGATTAAAGGCATGCACCACCACCACCTGGTTTTACTCAGTTTCTGAAGTGCTGGAATTACAGGCACCATGCTCAATTTAATTCTTTAAGTCATTACAAATAAAACAAAATTAAAAAGTGAAATAAAAAAGACACTGTTGGGGTTGGGGATTTAGCTCAGTGTTAGAGCGCTTGCCTAGCTAGCGCAAGGCCCTGGGTTCGGTCCTCAGCTGGGGGGAAGGGCGGTGCGATGACGAGGATGACACTGTTAGGAGGCTGGAAGTCCCATAGTATTCATATACAATGAAGGTACTGTACTGGCTTATGAAGGCAAAAGAGATCTAGCATATACACATAGTACTGTTTTACAGTTCATATTAAGAGTATATCCTGGGCCAGCCAAATAACTCCAAGGGAAAGGCAATTGCTGCTAATGCCAAGGCTGGCAACCCATGCTCAATCTCTGGGATCAACATGGTTGAAGGATGAAGGGCTCCTTCTGCATAGCCTCTGATTCCCACATTGACAGTGATACAAAGGCAGCAACACCTACACACAAATACATATAATAATAAAAAGAATATGGGGGGCTGGAGTGATGGCTCAGTGGTTAAGAGCACCAACTGCTTTACCAGAGGACCCGGGTTCAATTCCCAGCACCCACATGGCAGCTAACAACTGTCTGTAACTCTAAGATCTGACACCCTCACACAGACATACATGTATACAATGCACATAAAATAAAGATAAATAAATTGCTAAAAAAAGAATATGGAGTCCTGTAATATTATGTATAAAATTATAAAGGCATAGCTAAACTCACACATGTAGTTTTAGGTTAGGACTTTGCTACTCACCTTTCAAGGTCTCCAAGCAATGAGTATGTTGAAAAAGAAAGCATTACAAAAGCTCATGTGGTCATTTAGGATTCAACCCAGGTCTTCATACACTAATAGAAAAGTGAATTTTAAAAAACCCAAAGCTATAGGAAAGTAGTTAAATGCTGCTTATAAACCACTTCAGGCAGTGGATGAGTTATGCAAAGGTATGTGCATTTCCATATTAGTTTATGCTCATGGTTGATGATAACTTAATTTTATTTAATGAGGCAGTAATTTCTATAGGCCACATCTTTTTTGTTTGAAACCATAATTATGTTATAGTTCTTTAGGTACATCATAA